TCATGTGCAAGTTCTCACGAAAAAAAAAAAGGAAAATTATGAAGGGAATGAAGTTGAAGGGAATTGTACCCACAAATGAATCTGAAAATACTATCGAATCACATTCAAGTCATCATGATACAGAAGAGGTGGATTGTATGGTGGATAAAGATGAGGTGGATTCTTCAGTACTTCAGTGATAAAAGAAGTTGACTTGAATGAAGAGAGAGAGCACCTCATGATGAAATTCATGCTGACAAATTGAGCAATGCAAAAAACATCGATAGCAGCAAATAGTGGGAGTAATATATGTTATCGTTTTACGTAATATTTCGAAATATTGTATTAATGATACAACCATTTATGGCAAGCTCTATTAGAAAACCACAAGAAATCTCTAACTATCGCGTTGGACATATAGAAAGCATTCGACCGTGTTTGGAACGAAGGACTCCTCCACAAACTACCATCATACTGCTTACCTCATCAGCTATGCCATCTCTTATCGAGTTTTCTTTCAGGCACATCGCTTCACGTGGTGATTGACGGTGTATCGTCTGATACCATTGGCATTTATTCCAGCGTTCCACAAGGATCAATTTGGGCACCAACATTATTCCTTCTTCATATCAATGATCTGTTGGGAGTAACAACTTGCCCCATCCACAGCTTTGCAGATGATAGTACCCTACATACTGCGTTCTCTTTCTGAATTTTCAATTCTTCCCAGGAAACTGAGAATTCACGGCGCAGGCAGGTCAATGCTTGCTGAAATCACAGCCTGGGGAACCAACAACCTAGTTGAATTCAACGCCACCAAAACTCAAGCATATATTTTCTCTAGGAAGGCGGAACCCAGTATGCCCGATATTGTCATGTCTGGCACTACCATCCCCACCAAGCCCACCATATCTATGCTCGGTATTTCCATCAGCAACACTTTTTCATAGGATAATCATGTCAGATCCATCGCAAACGCTGCTTCACAAAAACTCGTATGCTTGTTCCGTGCGAAAAGCTACTTTACACCTCAACAGCTTCTCATGATCTACAAAGCACAGATACGGCCTGTTCTAGAATACTGCTCCCACATATGGGGTTCAGAACCAGAACATACGCTGATACTCTTAGATTCCGTCCAGAGATGAGCCATTCGCCTGGTGGGTGACGCCACACTCACTCACTCTTTGACATCATTGGAACACGGTAGAAAGATCGGCAACCTCTCACTTTTCTATCTATACTTTCACGGGAAATGTTCTTCGGAAATCTCTGCTTTCATCCCTTCACTAGCAATAACAGTCAGACGAACGAGACAAGCCCAGTCAGCAGATCCTTTCTTTGTCAACCTCGGAAGATGTCGAACAGCACTTTATCAAAACTCCTGCATTCATAGAACAGCTAGGCTCTGGAATTCATTGCCAGAGGAAGTATTCCCAATAACATAATTAATCTCCAGAAGTTCAAGAAAATTCCAATACCTTCCTCCTGTCCCTATTCTATCTAGGAACGCACGATGTTCTCTGAACACTATAGGGATTTCGCTTGGAGCGCACGAAAGAAAACATCCTCTGGGCCTCCGCACTCAAGGGTTTGAGCATTTTGAATGAATCAAATGAAGAATCTGCTCATGATCCACATATAAATTACGAACAAGTTCATGAAAAAATAAGTTTTCGAGTAATGAATAGCTCGCAGTTATCATCTTATCACAACAAAGCGCTCCAAGAAATGTCAAATGACTCATGTTCGAAAGTCAATAGTATTCACGTTATTCAGTTCAGGCACGACATTGTAACCAAGTTTTGCGCAACCATCTAGGCTGAGTGAAGAAACTGTACTTCCATCCTCAATCATTATTAGCAGAAAGTGCAGTTTGTCGACACGACGACGTGAGTGGAGAAGATCATCAAGATCAGGAGGATGAACACGATGAATCTGGAAACGCATACACAATGAGGTGTATGGCCAAAAATAAACTACTGCGTATGTTTGTCAAACAACTGGAATCAAATCATAAGAATCATCCATACCTTAAAGTGGTCCAATATGATTTCAAAAGAAAAATGAAAAAAAAAACAACACAAATTCGGTTGACCACACTTAATATAAAAACTTCCTTATAGAGTTACCGGTTTCAGCAGTACGGATATCATCAGGCAATAGTACCTTAATAATATTATGACAATAATGAGGACACAACAATTTGTATGAGCATACCAAACGATATGGGACTCAAAATGTAAAAACAATAAATCATGGTCAGTACAAACATTTTTGAATTCAAATGAACATGGTTTCGTGAAGAAATGTTTTTATTTTATTAACATCAGCATCAGTTTACCGTCAGTGGTAAAAGAAACTGGAATTGTAAGAATTGACAATCATGAAAAGAAAATGACATTGACGTTGGACACGTCGGACACGAAACAAAATTAGTGAGTGACATGTGCTAAACTGACGCAATAGTACTTGGGGTAACAACAAGGAAAAATAAGGTGCGAAGGAGAGAACTGAGCATGTAGGAAAAAGATCAGAGGAAATGGAGAAGATGAAGAGAATATGTCACAAGAAGTGGAAAGTGGAGCAAAAAATGAGAAGAAGGAAGGGAATAATAGACAATCAGATATCCAGAGGCGGAGAGTTAACTGCAAAGAAGGAGAACACCAATAAAGAGTCATGAAAATTCGAAAGTCCTAAAAATGTGGTTACGTTCAGAATGTTTCATGTCTCAATGATCAGACCAATTTTGTTCTTGAAACTGAATGTGGCTGTAGAATGTTGGTTTCTGTTGGTTTCCCCTGTGCATGCTGTGGAATAGTTGAAATTGAAATATTGCTAAATCACATTCGTGGTGATTATCTATTCGAAATATGTCTTACCAGATGAGCACACGTCTCTGATGCTATTGAAATCTCACGAATGGACGAAGTCGTGCATCTTGTTGAAATTATGCAGAATAACCACCATTCGTGTACCTGTTGAGTATCCCATTTGGAACACTGAGGCGATAGTGAATTCGGGAGAAATACACTAGTCATGAGTTGTTCAAACTATGTCATTCTGTCGAGCCAATTATTGAACGAAAATATTCATCAGTCGATAACTATCCGACATTTGAACCGATATTCCATTCATAATGTATTTCAGAACTAACGAGAGTATGAATGAGATATTTTCTATCCTGAGTGGAGGCCATTCGATTCTGACTTCGATTGCTTTAGGAATCCTGAATTTCAAGATAATACAGGTGAGTTGAGTAGCTTTCAAATCCTTGGCTTGATCTAAAAAGATATCTTGATGTGACGCCAACATAACCTTCAATTCCACGAAAGAAGTAGAAGAAGTAGTGTACATTATATATCGAAGACTGGAACCTTCGGCTCGATAATTCACTACACTGTTTCATCACAAACCGAACCGATTTTTTGACGCTTCGACACGTGTTTCGATAACATAGTCAACATATGTAACACAGTTAGCGAAACACGTGTCGGAGCGTTTAAAAAATCGGTTTGGTCAGTGGTAAAGCAGTGTAGTGTAGTAGTGTATATTGCTATAAGTCTGAATATCAAATTAGATGATGTGTTCTTCGAATTCATTTCAATTGTCAGAATGCAATCAATTTATTGAGTATAATGGGAAAAGTATCACATACAAGTTGAAATGGATCTTAATAATTTCTAATGATAATAATGATAATAATAATATGTTTATTCGCAGAACAAATACATGCTTACATCAGAGTGTTTTTGAGTGTGCAAATAAACTGTTCATCCCCACAGAAGTAATTCTTTCTCTATGTATGAAGGCAGGTATGTTTGTTTGTATTTCTATCTGGAGACACAATCATTTTTGACATGTCATGTTTATGTGTGTGGAGGTAGCCATGTTCCGTTTTTCCGTGTGGACACAATAATTCTTGACTGTCGAAGTTTTTTGTACCAGTTGCCATTTTTGTCTGTACCAGATGTATGAATTTTTCCATATAACAATAGTATTCTCCACATAAGAAATGTTTTTGAATTATTTTCTCCCGATAATATCTTCGCAATGTGGGAATACTACTTCGCCTCCCACCTAATACGTCTTCGCCCTCCCCGCACCCAATCACCTACCTTACACACCCCTGCCATATTACCAAAAGAGTTGTTTTCACATAAAACGATTATAAATGCTGTTTTCACATGAAACGCACCTTACACAGTCCTTTTATCTGTTCGGCTGATGGCTCAATGTCCTCAGCGTCAGACTGGTGACTCACTCACCACTGATAGCGTTTGAACGACTTTCCCGCCCATTGGGAACCTCTGTGAAATTACCTTCATGAAGAGCTTAGCCCTAGGAGATAGGCTGCTGGGACGAACTCTCCGCATATGCACCCACATTCCTTGGCCAACACCAGCTACGTCTGTCTCGCTCGGAGGATTTTATCTATACAGTTTCTGAGTTGTACATATTTCTATTTATATACAATGTAGATGTTCCTTCGTATTGTGACAAGGATATGGAAGACAATAAACAACATTAATACAAAAAAATGCTAATGACCCGGTCGCCCGAGGTGCGATGCCCAACGGCAAGACATTTTTTATCTTATCGAGTGACCGACATTTGTGACCGAGTATGCTCTAGACTGCATTCAACCGACACTTGTGTCAATTCTTTCCCCAGATGCGCTGAAAAAAACCTTGTATAAACAACAAACAAAAGAGCAAGAATATTATTATTCGTCACATCAAATTTGGGGTATGATCGTGAAATTTTATAGGGAAGTATTTCAGCTATGCCTGAATCGAATAGAAAATCCACTTGCCAAATAGTCGCTATAAAATTTCGACTCTGAAGGATCTAAATAGCCCAGTTTTGTCCAAATACTCGAAGAGATGTCATTCAGTTCAACTTTGTTTTCTCAAACAAAAAAAGATAATCATCTACTCAAAGACAAGAATCCTTTTCTATTGAGATAGTGAAATATGGAATTTTCAGAGAGTTGATGAATATTTCTCCATCTCTTTCAGGTACTGGACATAAGAGATATAATTCATGTGATAGGTTGGGTCGTGATGACTTCATTCCTCTGCTATAAAGGACAGCGGCTCATCGATGAGGTAAATCTGAAAACAGAATGTCACATAAGATATTCACGTGACCAGTGAGAAAACGCGTCATATTGTGAGATGATGGGATCTTGCGGAAGGAGCGAATCAAGATCCTTCAAATAACACACAGAATGCGTCTCCTCACGTATTACGCACATGTTTTTTTTTCTGATTTCGATGAAACATTCAGCCTGAAAAAATTATGACTAGTTCCATATGAGTTTCACCGACTGAATACAAAATTTACATCTTGAAGTGTTTGGTCACGAATCATCAGTGTACAATGGCTGATTTAGGTTCAGATTGCCCATGTGATAATGGGGAAGCACCACAAAATGCACTTTCTTCCCGTCAAATCATTTTTTTCATCAGAAACTGGTGTTGGAATAAACATTCCATCACCAGTGATATATTCAACTTTAGGCAACGAAAAACTAGGAGTAGGTTGTTTCAGAACATTCACCATTTTTCAAAAGTTGCAGATCAAATTTCAAATCAACGTTCATGAATGTACACCTACGGAGTAAAGAGTGGCAAGGAATTCGTCCGATGATAACTTGACATGTTCAACGGAGGATATAGAGAAGATAACGTTACATCGCAGTTTTTGTCTCTACGATCATAACCTCTTCATTGTTGAACATACAAAAATAGACCTCAGCCTGAATGTCGATAAACGCCGTCTGATTGCGGGCTCTCATGACACTCTACCCCGGGAAACATTCTCTTGCAGAATTCAAGCATCAGGAAAATAATCACACAGATCATCTTTAAAGTGAGGTTCATAAGGGCATAAACCCTACCATGGTCGTTGACATTGAAAAATATTAAAGATCATAGGAAGGTTGAATAGCGAAAGATAATTATTTGAAACAGCCCGAAGGGATTGATCGGGATTCTTAGGAGACGTTGACAATGTTCTAAACACACGCGGAATTCGTTCAGCAGAAGGAAGTGCCGTTCTGTGCACTTACGATTGGTTGAACCACATTGACGATCAACGCTACTGTGTTTGGATAATTTGAAGATTCAATTTGTATTTGTGATACGATTCGCTGTAAGTGCTCCGGATATGCAATCCACTCACACAAGAGACCATTCGCGCTTTGTTTATGATACAGATGATTTGGCATCTCTGTACATATCACTTACTTCTCTATGTCAAAATGAATCTGATGGGGTCTGATATCCATTGGAAATTCAAGTAATGTGTGATCAGGACTTTCCTCTTATTTACGAGGTGTATCCACCAAGGCGCGCAAGGTTTATATAATTAGGTAAAAAAACTCTGACATCGATAAGTTTTGACAGACACATACGTGAAAATTGACGAAACGATATGTTTTCAATATCGACATCTACTCTTTTGGGTGAATTTTCTGCATATATGTTGTCACAGTTGCCTCTTAGAAGAACAGAATTATCACTCAGCTATTGGAAAACAACGAAATTCTCCGCTATTTCGATATGGAGATTGTTTTGAATCATCGCTACTAAATATATCACAACATAACTTTATCTTGAATGCCAAAACAAATGAAATTGTCTATTATATTGACATGATATACATAAAACGTGAACTAATTCAACTCGCTCTTTGTTATTGTCAGCCATCACGACAGATCAGTCCACGCCAGGCCAGCATACTGTTGGGTAAATCATTGTCCTGTCCTGTCAGGATTCGCAGTTTATCCCTGCTACATTCTTGGAACTACCTGGTCACTTCTTCAGTTGGTTTAGGCAGAAACGTCTCCAAATGGGTCAATCCTGGTAATTCAGGCCAATGCGTGAGTCTTCTTTATTTGCCTAGTCCAAGATAGTTGTTTTGGCCGCACTTTCGGAGACATCAAGTATGGTTTTCGTCCTATGAACACAAATTTTATTTCTTGTTTGACGGGTATGTTGGCAGTCTTGTAACTCTCAACCCTCTGATGTTCAGGCACTCACAGCAGAGTGACTCTGTTGTTAGCACCCAGGCATTCTAGGAATTTAGCAGGATACAGCTTCATTCAGGCTTGGAAGTCATCTTGCTTGAGCTCAGTGCTTCGGAAGCAACCTGACTGTCTGATACAATACTGATGATTCTGTTTCCGATAGGTCTGTCTTCGCCTGTCTAGCGCACAATTCAATTGCGCAGACCTCTGCCTGGAAGAGTGAAGCAAACTCACCGAGATCAACTCGGATTTCCGTCTCTGTTTTTTAACAGAACACACTGGCTCCAACTTCAAGCGAAATTTTTCAAACATCTCTGAACATCACGTGTTGGGTCTCTCAAAATTGAGTTGATACCTCTACCTACTCGTATTCCTTCAGAAAAAAGACTTTGGAAGTCGCAGTGTCTGGGTGTCTAAGTGATCAACATGTCGTGAACTATTCCTAAGTTCTGGTGATTTTCCATCTCACGGAGTATCTCGGAGGGGTCCAGCAGTAACCCTTCCACTTCAAGACCATGTGAAGAAAAGTGAGGTTCAAGTGATTTTCCATCGCTGCCGTCTGAGTCAAGGACATCGCTCCTGTTATGGTCAGGTATGCCAGCCGCTGAAGACTAGCGGCTCTGCCCTGGCTGTCCCTTGTTGGCCTTCAGTTCACCAGACTACCAAGCCATACGTGACCATCGGCTTTGCTATTAACTGGTGAAGCCAATAAATCTGTTGAAGGTTCATTTCTCCAGATTTGCCGCATACGCTCCTGGGATGCCCGAGGGCAAGATTGGTTTTGGTAATAGTTTCTTTATGTGAGCGTTTCAGGTCAGTTTTGCATCCAAAGTGACACCTAGATATTTCTCCGCCGCAAATGAAATGCTCTATCCATATTGAACATGCTGACGAAGCTTATCTCACTTCAGCCATCTGGTTGAAATGAAAATAATAGTTTTCCGGGAGTTCAAAGACATCTGCAGTCTCTCGCATCATCTGTAGACGTTCGAGATCGCCTCTTCGAATGTTTTTCCAACTTCCATGACTTTATTATATGCATTGCAATGGGAATCCACCTCCTGCATAATGGCATCGTTCAGCGAAGAGTCATCCAGAAATGACCACATAGGGAGAGAAAGAACTCTACCCTGTGGACGATCTTTTGCTGCTCTGGATCTGTTCAACTCCCCATGCAATTATAAAATGGTTCTGATCCAGTTGCATATTTGACTGCTGGATCCTTAATCTTGCATTGCCATATAAAGTAATCTTAGTAGGGCTCCTTCTATGTCCAGAAGATCTGCCATCGCAATTGCCTCTCATTATCTGATGAAGCGGTAATTTTTTCCACAAGATAGTTCAGTGCTGAACCCTCAGATTCACCTGTTTGGTAGTCAAATCGATGAGGGTTCAGGAAATGATCCCTCAGAATCCCCTCTATTATATGCCTGTCGAAAATCCTTCCTCGAGTTTCGAATAGGAACGAGATGAGGCTGATTGGTCGAGAGCATTTGGGTAGAGTGATTCATCGTACCTGATTTTTGTATATACACAACCATCGCTGTTCACCAGTATAGCCAAATATTCGAGAATGTTGCCTCTGTTGAAATATGCATTAATCCTTTTGGTTAGAAATATTTCAATTCGGATCACACTGTTCGTCAACCAAGAATTCCAGCTATAATCTCGTACCTTTTCCGAACATGAGGTTCGTCACAGATAATCACGACAGGGTGTTACCTGGAACCGTACAAATTCTCGGAATTTTCAAAAAGATCCCCAATGAAGGGACAATTGTTCTCTCAACTTTGGCAGCAGAGGCATTTAGATGATTTCATCACTATGTGACATTTTTAGAATTCTCTCCTTTCATTTCCAGACTCATCTCAAAAAACTAACATTCCGATTCTGCAGTCATACCATTTTTCCTTGTCTACAAATTTTCAAAATCTCAGGCTCATTTCGAAGCTGTAACTCCAAATGAAGGGGAGTGGAGATCAGAATTGACTCAAGATGAACGATTGATAAAATGTCTCTTTTTGAATGCCCATAATAACCCCTGTATCTTCCGTGATTGTGGAGTTAGGATTCTGAAATCTGCAGGAGCGAAAAATATACCCTTCAAACAAGTAGAATCATCTCTTGGGATATACACTGCTTGCCAATAGCTATGGAATCACCCACAAAAGTTATATTAGGATGCGTGAGAAGCTGGAAACACTTCGGATTCGAAATCAGGACGTACACTTCACTTATATCTCATATCTTTCCAGTTTCAGTTCCTCCTGCAAGTTTGAAAACCCTTCTCCTATAATGACGTTAGATACGCAGATGCTTCCATGGAAAGCTACACAAAATCAAATTCTTCAGAACTGAAAAGTTTTCGGAAGAAATATGAAAAGTCTGTGAATTACGAGTCCTGATTTCGAATCAATATCATTTGCATAGGTGGTTCCATGGCGTTTGGCGAGCAGTATATATCACTGAACATGGATAATGAAGATGTTCATAGTGTGAATTTTCAGTATACCTTCCTGTCCTGCATATTTTGGAATGCTGACTCAACAATTACGAAAGAACCTGGGGTTATTTCATTATAATTGAGACACACTGTATGATGCTCATTTTGAGTAGTTCCTGATCTTCATATCTTTCGATATAAAAACGAACCAGGAAATAAAAAATCGAGTGGCGAAGACAAAAGTGATGACTGCGAAACCAAACAGGTAATTTTTTGAGATCACTCTGTAGAAAAAAGGAATTAGAAGACAATCGAAGAAATGCACCATGATATTGAGATCATCCGAATGCATATGCTGCCAAAGTTGAGAAAAATAAGGATTTCTTCATCTCGGATCCTTTTGAAAATTCAAAAATATCGCACAGCTCCAGGTAACACCTTGTGGCGATTTCAGACGAAGAACCTCATGTTTCAAAAAAGTAGGTGAATATGGATGGGAGAATAAGCTAGCAAACACTGTGATTCAAATTCTAATTATTCAAAGCAAGAAAAAAGGTATTCATATTTCGACAGGGGCGTAGATATAAGTAGCAGTGATAAGTCATGAGAAGTAATTTGATTAAACTTGGAGA